TCTGTCCGTCCGTCTGTCCGTCCGTCTGTCCGTCTGTCTGTCCGTCTGCCCCCGGATTTTTATTAGACAGATAATCTCCGAAAGTACTCGACCGATTGTTGTGAAATTTTGTACTTATATTAAGAATATCATGTAGATGGTAAAACGCTAACCAAAATTTGTCTAATCATCCCCACCACTAATGCGATGACGTCACTTCAAAATTGTACATAGTAAATGGGTTTTCAATTGTATAAAATAACGTAGTCCTACACATGTAGTTTACAACTCTGAATCGACTTTTCACCCGAAACGTCCAGATTTTTGGAAAAAAAATCAAAATTATAAAACAACATTTTGAAATTTAATTTTTAATCTGCTAACCAGAATGCTTTGAAATGTTGCAGATGTTTTAAGGCTATAAAGAGCATCATAAATCTTTAGTCAAAAAATATTTGCTTATCCCCTCCAAAAACTTGATGACGTCAGCTCAAAAGTTTGTGGAATAAATCATATCTAAAATGTACAAAATATGATGAGTCTGTACTTGTGATCTATCACTCCATTCATATTTTTTGGATTTGCATATACAGAGTGACTCAAAAAAATTAATGAATGCGTAAATATATTTTATTGATTTAATCAGGAACTACAAAACGGAATGCTCTGACATCTTGCAGATGTTTTAAGGTTATAAAGAGCATAATAAATGTTTAGTCAAAATATATTTGCTTATCCCCCCAAAAACTTGATGACGTCAGCTCGAAAATTTGCCGAATAAATAATATCTAAAATGTACAAAATGTGATCAGTCTGTACTTGTGATCTATTACTCCATTCATATTTTTTGGATTTGCATATACAGGGTGATTCAAGAAAATAAATGAAAGCGTAAATTTATTTTACTGATTTACTCAGGAACTACAAAACCGAATGCTTCGAAATCTTGAAGATATTTTAAAATTATCATAAGCATGGTAAATTTTTGATCAAAACGTATTTGGTCGTCCCCCCTAAAAAATTTATGACGTCACCACAAAATTTTGCTGAATAAATCCTATCTAAAATGCAAAAAATATGATGAGTTTGTACTTGTGATTTATCATTCCATTCATATTTTTTAGATTTTCTTAAGAGGTGGTTCAAAAAAATTAATGAAGTCAATTTATTTTATTGATTAAATTAAAGGCAACACTTATTATTAGTATTACACCCCAACCAACCCAATTTGGTAGACACAAAATTTGTTAAAGGAAAAACTCGGTTGAAACATAAGGGTAGCACGCTTATTTACATCGACTTTAACATTACAGACCTGCATTTGTTTTATGCGCTCACTTGGTTCCGCGAATGTGAAATAGACATGTTTATAATCAACCAGTTGTGAATTTCACCGTCAAGAATTAAAATAAAACCCAATGTTTTATATAATAAGCGGAAGTCGAAGCAATAAAACCGATGGTCGTTTTGTTTACAGTTTCTCTGTTTGACTCTCACGTATGGTGTTACGCCTGTCATCTTAAATTAAGAATGTTTATACATACACGATTTTCAGTTGCCTCTGATACGTATACATGAGTAAATTGTTTCGTTATTTTATTGATTATTACAAATCGATATTCAAAACGACCCAATTCATTTTCCCGAAAATTTAAGAATATAATAATTTTATTCTTAGTATTACACTACACCTATCCCAACTGATATACGTGTCCTTGCAAAAATGTTGATGACGTCATCGCAATTTTTTTTTTAATTCCCACTACAAAAATGTAAAGAGAAAAAAACACAATAGGCATGCAGTCGTCAAGTTTCCGACAGCGAGGGAAGTACTGTCTAAACTCTTTAGACCAATTTTTTTTCGTTGTATCAGCCGACTCGGTATGGGTTTCGCCTGCTGCTTTTTTAGTTTGGATACGGATTTTCATTAATTTAATTAGGATTTGTGATTGTTATGGATGTGGAATTCTGCGCATCTCGTGCACAATATCTATCACGCGCAGTGATATTTGACATTTACAAATTTGGGAATTTTGATCTTACGTTCGAGGGTTTAATGAATGCGATTCCCCGTTTGAGTGATACTATGTGTAAACTCGAATATGTGTGTTGGTAATTAATGTTTGCAAATTTGCGAATTTCATTCTCACGTTCTGGGATTTTGTATTTCGTCTTTTCATTGGCATTTTCTCGATATGATTAATGGTTTACCATACCTACTTACGATGACCTTAAAACGTTTTCAGTATTTCCGAGTAGGTATTCGGTTTTACAGTTTCAAAGTTAATCTGCAATTCTGCAAAATGTTTTTTCAAAAATCTGGGTGTCTAGGATAACAACTCACCCCGGATTCATAAACCACAAGTGCAGGAGTATGTTATTTTATAAAATTTAAAGAACATTTACTGTTTTAAATTTTGAAAATAGCGTCATCCCATTGGAGACAATGATCAGACAAATTTTGATTACCGTTTTACGATATACACGATAGTCCTATCGTACATATAAAATTTGACTACAATCGGTCTAGTAGTTTCGGAGATTACTTGTCAAAGAAAATTTGACGCCGACGACAGACAGAGAGACAAGACAAGTAGGGAAACGCGCGGCCTACTTTTTCGTACTCTCATTAACATAAATTGTTTCATTCATAAAATTTTTGGAGGGAATAAACAAATAAATTTGGATTGGCTAAAAGCTAATAATACTTACGAAGACGTTAAAACGTTTCCAAGATTTCAAAACATTCGGTTTTGCAGTAAAATGTTATAAAAGTTTGATTTTTTCCGAAAATTGTATGCGTAAGGTAAAGAATGAGGTGTCGAAATAAGTGATAAAATTTAAATAGGATTTCCTTTGTAAAATTTTGAGATGACGTCATCAAATTATTAGTGGAGACCAGCAGACAAATTTTGGTTAGCATTTTACAATCTACACCACATTGCAAATGTTCATTTAAAAACAATAATGAATCTAGTAGTTTCGGAGATTAGCTGTTTAATAAAACTGTCAGCAGACGACAGACAAGCGCAAACGGACACCTACTTTTTTATACTCCAGGGGTTATGAAACGTCGAGAATTATGAAATTAGCCGTTCGACGGATGCAATAAGGTTAGGCTTTGGAAATAAAAAGAGGATGAACAAAACGCAATGACTGATGTACACCTAATTTGTAATTTGTAATTATTGTAGTACTCGACAGAGAGTAACTTTCGTTATTACGTTATTTTGTACTATTTTGGATTTTGGGTCCTTGAATGTATACAGTATCGTACTGGGGAGAAATAAAAATTCCTGTAAATTTGATAAGTTATTATTAGAGGAACTGAACAAGCTGATTTATGACGTATGTCAAAAATTTATTGTTTGTTACTATTAAAAGTCATGTAAGATATTTGAGTTTGAATCTACGGAAAAAACATTATAAACATTATTAATTCTCATAATAACAGAAATTTGATTAAACATTAAAAACAAGTCAAGTAAAATCGTGAAGTGAACATCATATATTTAACTGTTTTTGTTATCCATTATTTTGTCACCTTCATTTACAACAGAAGAACAAAACTATTACTACGCAAAAATACAAATCAAAATTTATTCTTCACTGTATACTTATTTTAAATTTTATTTTGTCAGTGCTATTAAAGAATCAAATGATGATGGTCGAAAGTATTTATAGGTGTTACAAATCATGTCATGTAAAATATAATCAAATTCGAACATTATAGATACATGTTTCATTTTGTTCCGTTTGATAGTCCGAATCAATTAATTAGTAGTCATTAGTCAACAAATCAAAACATTAAATGTTTAAACGTATGCAATATTTTTCCAGCTTTTGCATCATTTATTTTCTTCATGGTATTCAATGCATTGTACTTCTAAAACGCGTTGTAGAATTTAAAACTTTATTGCATTTTGTACCATATATGACTTGTAACAATTTTTTACCAGATAATGAAACAAGTCATTGTTTCATGTCTAACTACACGGCAAACTTACGGGAAATTGTAATAAAATTAATCTTGTTTTATAATTATTTAAGTAATACAGAACGTAAGTGCATTTTAACATGCGTCGACAAGATTAAGGCATGTTATATTCGAGGATGTTAAAATGACTTATGTTTCACAATACTTACTCCGTTTTTCTTTTCGCAACACCCGCAAAATTAAATTTTAAATAAAAGAAAAGTTACAAAATTGAAACTTTTATCAAATTTCGACGTAAATTTGCTCGGCTTGTTACATAGCGTGTTATCAAGGCAGTTACTTGAATTTACGTGACAGGTATTGAAAAATATATTACGGAAATTTAAACAAATGTTTACCATTGCTTTACAGATTCTCAAAACTTCTCTTTTGCAAATACTCACTAGATGTTAAAACATTTTGAAACAGTAGACACAATACACGAGTAGTTACTTTAAGGAATAGTAGCAAACACTTGTGGCCAAGTTAACTGCCATAATTACGATTAGTATTAATTAGCTTTACAAACTTCATATTATAAATATACTAATAAATACGCAATGAATAGTAATACACACAATGTTGTGGTCGAAGTAGCGATAATGGAACAGCAGTTCTAATTTCTATATCTCAATTTGGTTTGGAGGTGTTTTTCTTTTAGGTAAACATCAGTAGGTATAACGAAAATTTTCACAAAATAGTAAGTATATTAAGCAGGTGTAAAAAATTAGTGATAAAAAATAAAAATATTCTAGACATTTTAGAAAACTAATGCCAAAGAAATCGAAAAATTAAATTGATGCTCTAGACAAAAACAACAAAAGAGTGAAATTTTTTCATTTCTGATTTGTGGACTATATAAAAAGAATTTCTCCTGTCCTTGCATGCGTGTTATAACCGCATATTATTCAATGAAATTTTATTTAATAATTGTTCGCAAGGAATAAGGATAAATATGCCTCACTAAATTTGAATAAAACTTATGTCTACATTCGGCTGTTCAGAAAGTTAGTTGTTGCTGCTTGTGCTTCGGTAATATTTTTCTATTTCTTAAATTTTTTATTATTGTTTAGACTAGTTTAAAAGCTTATGACTTTTTTTAAGTTGCCGGTTTTATTTTCAAATGTAGAGATGTTTTTCATACTGTTAATACAAAGGCCTCGATATTTTAAGAACGGTTAGTACAACTGGGCGCCCAATATCGATTTTGTTTAGAGCGTCGTCGTCGTTTACGATGGAAAGATCGTGCCCTAAAAACTAACACCAACAATATTAAGAATAATAATAATAAACAATGTACATACAGTAGTGACAAATTTTATCGACAAAAGAAGTGATATTAACAAGTTAAAGCATCGATATGGGATCAATTGTTTTAAAGTCCCTTTCCATATTATTAGGACTGTTTTTTATTTTTGTGGGATTTATTAAATTGTCCAGTTACATTTCGAAAGATCTGCATAAAGACTTGGTAAGTACAGTTATATTTTTAAATACAAATAATTGTTACACAATAGAATGATATTTTAAATTTTTGGCCCGCTGCCTACCTAGGTTGTTGCAAATATTTTCGCGACATTAAAATGTTAAACCCAACAATTAGCATAGTGCTGCTTTTTTTAAACTGTTGTTTTACACAGTGTTGAAGAATGTAAAATTAACCACTTTGATGATTCAATTTTTATGCTTTTACATTTGCAGCAGTCAAAAACAAATTTTCAGATTGATTGTTAGTCCATTAAACGTTTATACGACACTATAAAACGTTTACGTTAGTTGTTCTATTTACCTCGACAATTTGATTCAATTGATGTGCGTTTAATAGATGCTTGGGTTATTTAAATATTTTCAATTCCCATTTTTGTGATATATAGTATACTGACGTATTTTTAGCGAAAAGAATATGTGAAATATGCAAAAGTATTTCCCTTATCGGAAGCAATGGATTTTAAAATCCCATCCAAGTGGTATAGGAGAACTGTGGGCGCTTTAGAAATAATTTGTGGATTAGCAATGGCGTTTGTGCCAAATCGTAAGTATAATGTAGATTTGATAATAATAAACCTACGTAGTAATATGTCAAATCAGTTAGTAAAGCTCATAATCGATGATCATTCAGTGAAAAATAAAATCGTGTAAATAATCTCTGTGAAAATAAACCGTCTGGTACAATATTTATAAAGTAACATTTTATTTGTGGATCTCTGAGCAATGTGTTTATTTTAGTCCGTTATTACCAAATTTTCGACCGCAACCTATATATTTTGTCAATGTTAAACCAAAAATAATCACATGGCAAATGCATAAAATGTTGTGCCGCTTGCGTTAAAGCGTTTCATGAATGACATTGACTTCGATTAATACGTAGTAGGTAATCGTACTAATTTTATGTTTTAGATAAAGTGAAGAACGGTGCAAATTTATGTTTGTTGCTACTGACGTTAATGGCTGTTTATTCGCATTACATGGTAGCGGATAAACTCGAAAGGACAGCACCGGCATTAGTATTTTTATTTATGTTAAGTGGACGACTTGTTGTCTATTATCAGCTGACTAGAAGAGAACTTGAACGTCCAGAAGCAAATGTAAATGGCTTTAAGCAAGAATAAATAAGGGTGTATAAGAAAAATATCAGACAGAAAGTGAATCACGTCCAACAGACACGCAGGAAAGCGTCCACTGACGCAAGTTATTAGTTTTCAATAAAAGTACCTTACTAGGTGTACCTCTACTGTTTTATTGTTTGATAAATTTTGCAATTTATTGAAAACTAAAATGTCGTAATTATTCACTTATTTAAAATGAAATATGCCATAGTTTAGAATGCAATTACAAATTGTTACATTTTTTATTAATGTTATGCAAAAAAAAATAAATATATATATATATATATTTGAAATTTAAAAATCTTAGTTACAATATGTTTCTCACTATTGCTCTGTGAGTGAATAATGTTAAGTATTATCATTGTTCTAACGTACAAAATGTGAAATATCCTGTTATCATATTTATAACCTATGAATTACTTACTATCTCACTGCCACTTGAAGGTCATAAATATAATAATGAATACTATACAACTTGTTTGTACACGAGAAAACCGAAAGGATGTGTTAACTTGGCGACCTAGAATATTTTGCTTTACCTTATAAGTAGTTGCAATATAATTATAGCAGCTTCACCTACATCTTACATTTTATTCTTTCTGTTTTCAGCGTAATATATGTTTTTCTGTTTGGATGAATCACAAATTTATTTGTAAATTTTTAAATTTAAACATATCTGTGTTTGGCAATGGGTGACATCTATATATTTTTGTTCCAACTTTACACAGTTGGCTGTTTTGTACAAGTATTTCGTTAAATGTTTTTTATCTTTTTAAAATTAAATTACATTACATACGTATCGGACGCTGTAAGTAACTGTTTATTAAAAGATTATCTAAATTATATAATTTGATCGTTCGATTTTAAAAATTCTTGGAAATGATTTGCTAATGCAAAGTGTATTGTATTGGTTGTTCTGTGGTGTATGGTATACCACGTGTAAACTGTCTTTGTACAATAATCATCGAGAAGCACGCTGTAATAAATGAAGTTTCTTAAGAAGGTGACGCCATCTTCTGGAATATTGTAAATGAGTTCTCCACGAACTTCTGGACACAATGGGAAAACTTAATTAAAATAGCTTTGGAATTCATAACACTTTTAAATAGTACTCTCAGTTAAGCTAATTAACATTAGTTGTATCGAAATGATTAGTCAATATACAAGAAAAAAAAGTCTAATTTGTTAATCATGATTCATAAACGAAGTTTGTAATATGACGCTACTTTTAGATTACCTATACCGTTTTAAATTTTGTTTCATCATGAAGTACGTATGTTTTCACAGTTTCCACAGTGAAAGATGCTAATCGTGACATTTCCGTCTGAAACAACTTTGTTGAAACTGTATGTACCTACTGTTTCTGGATAGTGAACTGAGCTTTATTTGTATTATAAGGATATTATTTTTTACTGAAACATCGTACGTCAAAATTGATTTATGTAATGAAAGTACAAATAAAATTTAAAAATCTGAAATAGTTTTATGATGATATTGATGCTATTTTACAAAAAATAAGTAAATAAATAAACACATATAAATAAAAAACTTCAAATTAATGAAATATTTTCAAACGACATTTCACATTTTTCTAAAAAGGTTATAAATTTTTTATGAAAATAAAATAAGTTTCCAAATTACAACGTGTTAATAATTCATGATTTAGTGACATACGTAGTAGTATGCAATATTTACAAAAATACTTTTTAGGGCATGGTGTTAGGGTAGGTAGCTGTATGTAAAAACGAAAAGTTGGTACTGGGTACTCCGGTGTGTCTTAAAATGCTATTAAATTTGACATCATATTCAATAGTTGATTAGTGAAATAAAACATTTCCAAACATTCTTGTTTTTTCACGGTTAGGGCAATCAATGGTCACGCAACGTTTAATATTGTCATGGATATTTTAAATTTTCATCCAGTTGGAATTCCATGTCAATATATTTTCTAAAACAATGTTAGTGAATAAATTTCACTACCAATTGTGGTGAGGCCTTCATGATAATGTATAGAAGTACGAATTTTTGTAAGATTTTTGTGGTCGAGTGTTAATTAAAATAAAATTTAACTTAAACCGTAAAATTTTTCCAACCCGTTACAAAGGTACCTATGTTAATCATAATATAACTTTCTAAATTTATCTAAAAGAAAAAGACCTAAGAAGAAAAACTTGCTCTAATAATGCTTACTATTACTTATAAAATACTAGTAGCAACAAATAAGCAAGTAACTATTTAAGCAATTTACTAATAAATCAATGTTTCTAGAACAAGTGTAATACTTAAAAACCCCCGACAAAAAATTATACCTTAAAAAGTTTGAAACTGGATGATAGAGCTGATTCCTCCACCATTATGTTGACTGATCTCTCTCAGTTAAGACGCCTCTAGCTCTGCCTAACTCACGCAGCTTCATGCATCTATCGGCTAAAATCCTATCATAAATTTTGCTAATAATTTTTGGTATGACAGCAGTTTTTTGGTTCTCCAGATCGTGGTGCGTCTTCAACGGATGTTCTTCCGCGCTTGAACTCAGTAACGAATAGCTTCATAAGAAGAATATGAATCGCTGAATGTAGGAAAAATCTTTTCATGAATTTTCTCCACAGTTTTCCCTTTCAAAGAGAAGCACTGAATTGCCATACGAATTGCGTTTTTCTCCTTTTGTATATTAAAATCACCATGATGTTGCTCCAAGACGATGAGAATCTAGTTATTCATCAAACCACCCTAGTTCCAGATTGAACCGGTTTTAAAACAAATCGGTTTACCTATCTGTTTCGGAGCTACGGTGCAACATGGAGACACACAAATAGGTATCAGCTGATGATCTTGAAATGATTGAAGTGATTATCGTCAAACATAGCTATTCAAGAACCATCCTGATTAAATTAGCTTTCAACTAAAAAACACCGCATCGGTGTGTTTTTACTAAATTTCATTTTTTTTTATTGTTACAGCAATATTTTAGAGAATTAAAAAATACCGATTACGGATTTTTGAAAATTATAAAGTATGTAATAATCATTAAAGAGCAGATTTATATCACAAAATTTTACATATACAGGGTGATGCACGAGTAATAATAAGCCCGAAAAAATTTAAAATGCAACCAACCTTACATTCCGCAGCTTGTGTGGATTCAAAATTCTATTTTTAATAAGAATGTAAACATAGCAGCCATAAAGTTTGTCAGTTTTGACATTAACATTATAAAAACTCAACTATAAAGTGAAATTCTAACAGAAAAGATGCTTTAATAAAGAACAGAACAGAACAAAACAAATCAATTAAGAAGATGTTCAAAATGCTGTCCACTAGTCCTTTCGGATGCCTCCATTCGGTTCCAGAAAGATCTTCTCACTCTCATAAGCATCGCTATCGTTACAGATCTACAAGCGACAGTTATTCGATGTTCCAAATTGTTAATAGGTCTTTGGTAGACACGATCTTTGACCATTTTGCATAAAAAGTAATCTAGGGGAGTTGTATCAGGACTTCTAGGGGCCAAGGATTAACTGAACCCCTGCCCATCCATTTATTTGCAAAAACTGAGTCCAAATAGTATCTCACGTCTCTGTGGAAATGTGAAGACTGGCTAATGCCTACTCTTCTTGCCAATTTGCGTTGTCCCACATGGGGTTCCTCCTCAAGAATTTGAATGACTTCTAGTTCGTGTTCCTCACCGCTAGCTACCCCCTGTTTTGATAACTTAACGGGAGGCCAATTAGCTCTCAACTGATTCTCCAGTCTTTTCAAATTCGTGTCAGCAGGCGCTCTTCTCTCGGGGTATCGCTGGGCATAAACACGTGCATGAAGGGTTACATTCTTCACACATTCTCCATTCACTAAAATCACTGTCTTCTCATCATTTGAATAGGTATACATTTTGCACAAATTGTAATAAATTTTTAATTTGTCAAAAAATGACAAAGGCAATGATTCATGAGCATCGTGGATTCAAACTATGACTTTCAAAAGAAATATAATGAAGTAGGCTGTGAAAAGTAATGTCGGTATGCATACAAATTTTTTTCAGGCACATTATTACTCGTGCATCACCCTGTATGCATATATTTAGATTGAGAAATTATAAAATATGCTAAAATGTATATAAGTTTTCATAATGTCCCGAGAGGACCGCATTTTCCGAGATTCGACCCCTAAAAGGGTGAAAAGTGGTATGGAAAAAATATTTCTACTGTAAATTTAAATTTTTACGAGGAACTTGGTATTAATACTCTTCAACACAAATCACGAAACATGTATTTCTGATTGTTTCGAGATTCCACCCCTAAGAAGATGAAAGGAGGTGAAAAAGGTTTTATGAGCAAAAACATTTTTATGTCGACTTTTATTGGAAATTGTATTAATGCCCTTCAACACATTCTTTACTTGAAGGTTGGTAATAACGCTCTTCAACACAACGAATTGTTTACGCGAGCAAAGCCGCGGGCGAAACGCTCGTTAACAATAGATTAGAATTTCGCAAAAACTCGTTAATTTTACTTCAAAACGACACGTCGAAGTTGTCGCCATCAGATCTAAATCAAAACTGAACACAAAGGGCCCACAAACGTGATATTTGCTCAGGTAGTTCACGTGACAGTGACGTCATCGTACCTGACGATGAGATTGCAAAAATTATTTTTTATATTTTATCCGAGAAATTGCACATTTTTTGAGTTAATTTAACAATGTTTAATAATTAATGTTAATTATGTTTAAATATTGTTTACTGTGTCACGATAATTTGTAGTTTTTTTATATTTGTCGAGTATAGGAATCACGGGCCCCGATAAATTAAAACTCAAGTCGTACTTACTCCGTTTTCGGGATTTTTTGGAAAAATATCCACTTTCCTTCATGTTCACAACAGTAACGGAAAACATTTTCACTAAGTAGTATTTATTAACAACAAATTAGAAATTCGAGAACACGTTTTACTTTTAAGCCAAAACGGAGCTCGCGATTCTCCGATGCTGCTGCCACCAGACCCAAATCAAAACTGAACACAAAGAAACAGAAAGTGGCCTACTAACAAGAGGAAACGGAACCAGATGGCGACTAGCTTGAAAAATGAAGTATAACTTCTTGCACAAGTTAATGAGAATACTTACATGGGAGGGAGTTATGGGACAAATTGCTATTGCTAGACAAATAAATAAATTTCATCCCAACCGCTCTAACCATCTGCACCTGGAGCATGCACTTCGACCCACAAACCAACCACAAAGATTGGATTTTTATAACCAAATGCAAATTAATCCCAATTTTATTGAGTATGTTTTGTTCAATGATGAAGCCAAAGTTAGCAATTTATTACAGTTGCATGGCAGTCTTAAATTTATTGAATGTGTTTCGTTCACCTACCAGGCAATAAAAACACAATTTGCCCACAAAAATTTCTTTTAACTTCGGCAAACACGTCGGTTTTCTCGTTAATATCGTAAGAATGCATAGGCATTTTTCTGACACTAACGTTTCTATACACTTTGATACAATTCAATTTTGAAACATTTTTTGTAATCCAGGCTCAAGTGGAATCGGTATTATGGGTTTCCTATTTTAAAAACACAAATGGGTCATCTTAGCTGAATAATCCTGTATTTAATTTGAAATCATTTGCGAACACTAGTTTCATATATAGCACCACATCTACGAGATCGTTAATGAAGAGAAGAAATATTAGTGGGCTTAAATTTGAATCTGATGAACAAACGATTTAGAAATATAAGAAATTTAGTTTTTTAATGAAATTGAAATGATCAATGTAATTTGTAAATTTCGTGTAGATAACATCACATTGTGATTTGTTATCAACCATTCTGAGAAAAATTAGCAAAGTTGAAACCATGTAGATCTCCTTGTATAAACCCATACTGATACGGCGAAATCACAACGAAATGCCTCTGTAATTGGTAACCTCATTGAATCTTTTTTTTGAAAATAGGATACATATAAGGTCTTTTCTATAAAGAGGGAAATATTGGTTGCTTTAGCATCAGATTACACAAAACACACAGGGGTTGAACGCAAATATTTCCACAATCCCGAAGTAAAAACGAAAGAATATATCGTCACAACCCATTGTAAAGGTATGTTTTGAGCGTTTCAGGCATGATATTGATAAAACATCTGTAATTCTGATATATGACGCTTCAATTTGTATACCTAACTTCGCCTTTAAGGATACTTGAGAAGGGTCATTGAATGAACACGCTGTTGAAGTGTTCTTCAAATCTATTTACAATATCTACCGGAGAGGAAGTTTTTTATTGCATGAGACTAGGGATTCGTGATATATCTTTTTTTGCTTGAACGTAACCTCAACAATTTTTGAGATCAGAAAAAATATAACTTTCAATATTATTTAGATTTTGCTCATAAGTTTCAATCGGGATCTTTGCCGTAATAACAGGTAGTTCGATGTTTTTTTACTTCTTATAGGCCAGAGACTTATCGCGAATACAGCATATTATTTCACCTGTGAACCACAAAAGGTAATATTGTTATGGTGTAATAAAGAGGAGAACTATTGCATCAAATATGGTACATATATACTTTCTCGTAAAACCGCAACCATGCAATTTCGACATTTTCCATCACCTATAAAAAATTGTTCGAAGATTATTTCGACAGAATTTCCCTTGTCCATAAAGTACAATACATCAAATCCAGCTGTTCCGAAAAATTATAAGATTTGATTTTGCGAATTTAATTTTTTATGACAACCCTTATAAGTTAAAATAAAGATATGTATGTAATGTTTAAGTAAAGGTAAAGAAGCGTGCTACGAGTTTGTTACAAGTGAATTTTTCCATTACAAAATTTTGTGATGAC